GGGTTGTGGGCCAGGTCCCCAGTAGGAGGTGCCCAAGAGACAACCACACATTGATGTTTCTCTCCTCTTTCTCCTACCCTTCCCTTCTCTCTAAAAAGAAACAAATAACATCTTTAAGGAATGTATATAAAATCAGTTAGGTAACTGTTAAGTGGGTTTTGCCCAGTTTCTCTCCTTTCTTCTGCAGTTTGCCCTCCTCACTTCTCATTCCCTGTGTGTGTGCGAGCCAGGGGTGAGTGCAGGTGGGTTCTTACCTGCTGTCCTTCTCTCTCTCTACCTGCCCTGCTCCCTGCCCCGCAAAGCAAAGCGAATTCACTGGGCTGACGTGTTCCACCCCGGAATTCTTCCCATTCTCACCAAACTATTTCTCTATCAACGAGGAAAAGGTATTTGTACCACTTTCAAAAAATTACGCATTTGCCCAACGCTGCACTTTTCGATTCTCTTCTGTTCCTCCTGCCTCCGCTTCAGAGAACAGAGTATCGTTTCAAACTTTTGTTTCTCATTTACTTCTTCACCTGGCCACAAAATGTATTCGGATTTCTCTACTAAAACAGCAGCAGTAACGGTCTCACCTCTCCTCCTCCCTGAAGCCCCTGGACCGCCCTTCCCTCCCCGGGATGACTGCCAGAAGTGCTGTGAAGGGGGAGGAAGAACCTGTATGTTGGGGTTTTGGTTTCGACCTTGAGAACCCTGGGCGCCTCTTAGGCAAGCCGCTTGCTCAGCACTAAAAAGGACGGGACTAACACACGCCTACTCCCTGGGGTCCCAGAGACCCTGGAGCACTCCATTATCAACAGAAGGGACCACGCCACAAAAGCACATTTGATAAGGAAAGTGTGTATCTCTTTTCACCTTTTGGTGCCACAGTATCGTGTTGCTTCCTTGGTTAAGTTTATTCCTATGTACCTTATTTTTTTTTGTTGCAATAGTAAAGGGAATGCCTCCATCGTCAAATATGGACCACAGAGGCGTAAGTTTAGAGCTGGGCTGCCTGATCGGTTCCATTGATCTGTGGGTCTGTTCTTATGCTGGTACCAGACTGTTTTGATTACAGTGGCCTTTTAGTATAGTTTGATATCAGGTATTGTGGTCCCTCCTACTTTGCTCTTCTCTCTCAAGACTGCTGACGCTATTGGGGGTCTTGTTTGGCTCCATGTAAACTGTTGGAATATTTGTTCTAGATCTGTGAAATATGCCATATGAGTATTTTAACAGGAATTGGGATGAATCTGTAGAGTTCTTTGTGTAGTACGGACATTCCAATGATGCTAATTCTTCCAATCCACGAACAGTGTATAAGCTTCCGTTTATTTGTAACTTCCTTAATGTCTTTCTTATCCTGTAATTTTCGGAGAACAGGTCTTTTACCTGCTTGGGGCCATGGGTGCACCCTGCGGGGTGCAGATGATGTTTTGGGGAGCTACACACTGGACACCTGTTTGGCTTTGAGAGCCAACGTCACCGCAATCCATTCAGTGAAAATGTTTTATGTTATTAAGAGCAGCGGAGTGATTCTGGGCAGCAAAGACAGCCACCAGAAAGGCCAGGATCATGCAGGGCCCTGATCAGCGCCGCATCCCAAGAGAATCGAACTGTTTTGGAGTCAGGGTCAGCCTGGTGAACTTGGACTCAAGGTGATCAGAGGTCTTTACAATGGGTTTATCTACTTATCTTTGTGACATGGGACAGACAATAGTGTCTCAGATTCTCCTTTTTCCCCTCCTTCCTGTACTGGAGAAGGTGACCGGTCCCTCTTACTTGATTCTGCAAATTAAGACGCACGTTCTACAGATATGCTAATAAGATCAAAGAATAATTGCCCTACATCTATTTTATCTCCTTCTGGGGGCTGGGCTCATTAAGTGGTGATTTAATGAACTCTCAGCTGGAATTCCATTTCCCTCAGTTCTGATTTCTCGGAAGCCACCTCACAATTATGCCCAAGTACTTACAAGTGACACTAGATTAGACAATATTAGAATTTTTCTTAAAGTAGATTGGCAAAATAGTCATATCTATTTTTTTTTGGCTTAAAATGAACTCAGGGTTACTATTTTTAAATAATCTACTCTGAACTGTGCAAATAATACCTAAACAACTTCGGCTTTTATCTGTGGACAGAAGTAAAAAGAGTGGCCTAAAGTCCTTATTCCATTTTCTCTTAAAGAAACAGGAAGTACATCTGATTGTGTATAATTTAGAAACTCCTGATTGAGACGCTAATTAAGAACAACAGAGGAGAATTCTGGCTCCAAGAAGGCATGAGAGATTTAGAGGAAGGCCACACAGTAGCAAATGTAATAGCACAATCTCTCAGTGGGTTTCCTTAACTGTAATGATCTCTTCTTCAGCTGTTACATTTTTTGGGATTCATTGTAGGTTAAAAACATTCTTTCCCCATGGCAACTGAAAAACAGCAACTGGTGGCCGCGACGAGAAAAGGGGGACTAAGAATTAACACGGACCCTCGTGCAAAGTGCAAGGCTCTGTGTCCCCTCCTTATGTTGGTTGCTCCTGCGCAGGCCGCTATCCCCAGCTCAGGTATCAACTTTGTGTCACTGTGTCTGTAACAGTGACTTCCGAGTCACAAACTTAAAAGGAAAGGAGGTCCCGCCCCATTGCTCACTTCCAAGGGCAGCAGTGTGGACCCAGGAGCCACCTACGGCCCCACAGGAAAACCAGGCACGGAGGGTGGTTCCCACTGGAGGACGGCTCCCCAGGTGAGACGACTGAGAACTAACCAAACGTGCCTTTTGTTTACGCTGCTATTATTTTCCTTCCTTTGCACTGCTAAGCCTGCATCCTGAATGATACAGCATCCCTGTTCCAAAGCTGCCTTCTCCCAGATGAGTGGGGACAGGCAGACACAGCCGTGAGCGGAGTTTGATGGAGACCTGGAAGCACAGCTCAGGAGCGAAAGCAGGGAGCACGTGAGGCCGTCTGAGTGACAGGCAGTGACCTGGCCACGGAAAGGTCACAAAACCCCACCCCGGCAATCACGGGTGTCAGACAGACAACTCCTGGAGGGTGAGGCAACTGGTCTCCTACAGATAGGAGTTGGGTTTTTTTTTGCTTTTTTTGACAAGATGAAATTTCCTTGTATACATTCATATAGAAATACTGAAAGAGAACAGACCTGCACTCTACACATTGCTATACGGAAATGTCAAAGGGTCACCTCCCAGCATGAAAATGAACCGCAACACAGAAGGCAAAGGCCCCCCACGTGTCCGAGTCCTGTTCGCACTGCGGGGCTAAGTCAAATGCAGCATTGTGAAGGGTGTGCAGTGATCGAGGAACACAGGTGAGGGGACTCAACAGCACGAAATAAAAGGGAGAACAGAACCATGACTGATGCTTACACACAAAAGACAATGCTACCGTGGAAACCACTCCAAGTGACAAGCCATTTCATTATCCCAGATTTGTGTGAGGTTCTGCTTCTCATGCAGGGGAGCTGGGGGTATGCCAACGTTCTGGTTATTTATTTGTTTTGGGGACAGAGGCCCGTTGCAGACGACGCTCACGGAGCTGCACAGAGCTGCCTCCCACACACGGCCTCACCAATGGAAAACGTCTTTCACACGCGACTGCCGTCGGAGACCACGAGGGCGGAGTCCACGTCCGAAAACATCACCAATATTTCTACTGCTGGCTAAGTGTCCCACTTATTGTCAAGTGAGCATTTTTGAGCAGGGGCCTGTTGAGAGCGACAGTGACACACTAATCCCATGCTGCCGATATGACTGATAACAGAACCTACTTGACAGGTAGTTGCCTTATTCATATTAAATCCTCAACACAAAGTTGAAAAGCAAAACCAGAGTCACTGTGATGCCGCCAACAATGGAACGTGGGGAACACAGAGGACCTTCTCTCCTCCTGCCCCCGACCTCCACAATGACACCTGTCCTTAAATAAGGAAGAGGGAGATGGCCGTGACCCTGGCACCTGAGCTCCGGACAGTAGAGAGGCTCAGTACGAACCTCGGAGCAGCAACCACGTCTCGCTCTCTGTAACTTTTCATCTATAAATTGAGGGAGTGAGAGAAGTGGTCCTGGATGTGGAAGCCACTGTCTAGGGAGAGGTGACGTGGCGTCGTGATGAGAAGAGACACAGGCTGGGGGGGCCCCGAACGACTTCACGCGGAAACGGTGGGGGAATGGCTGGGCCCCTGGAGTGCCACCCAGAGCATGAGACCTGAAGAGGTGGAGCCACTCTCCTCTCTGTGCAGGTTCATCACACAGACACTGAGCATCACCGTGTGCAAACCGAACAAGGACACATCACAAGACTCCAGGACGGGCCCACTCGGTCCACACGCCGTCAACTGTCCACAGCACAATCGCTGGAGAGAATGAATGCAACGCTCACGAGAAGAAGAACAAGCTAAATCAACGGCTCTCTCCGGTTCCTCAGTAAACAGTGGGCGGACAGAGGAAAATGCCGGCAAACTCCACCTCTCTGTGGTGGTCTGGCAGAACGTGGGGGCACAGACACACAACACGCCTCAGCGGCTGCCCGCCAACCAGGCGGCTTTCAGAACTACGATTCCGCATCTTTAAAACTCAGCCAGCTATGGACAGGCTTTAGGAAATTTTGAAAAAATGACTAGAACAAGAAGACAAGCCAATTCTGTCCTTAATGATCAATTTAGCCAATTTGTTTCATTATAAGGACAAAGCTAGAGCATCTCACTGTCTCTAAGGCCCAATTCTAAGCATCCAGGACATAACCTGAAAATGTTTTGCTTCCTGGAGATGCTTGCTGGTGATGATGGCCTGGTGCAGGGAGATAAACACAGCCTTGCTGAAGCCACCGGGGCCAGCAGCGCCCTGGGCACGAAACAGACCATCTTCCTTTGTACTCGCATCTGTCTGCTGTGCTCTCAACAGACGCGACTTTGACCACAGACATGTCTGCAGGCACTTCTTCTGGACACTCAGGAAGTTTTTAAAAACATTATAAAACACAATAGTTACAAGCAGGCTACTCACCAATGCCAATGAAAGCGGCCTTGTACCCCTCGGCTTTCAAAGTCTGAAGAGTCATGTCGTTCGTGGAAAGGCTTCTGCCGCAATTTATCTGTAAGAAGCGACATGTGGATAATCATACTTTGACATTTGATGGATAAAGTCTTGATGCTCAACATAAAAAAAAAACCAACACTGGATACACGTAATCTTCCATACATGTTGAGATATTGTTGCCTGTTCGCATGCAAGTGTACATACATAATAGTGTGTGGGTGGAACACTGACATGGGCTCCCTAAGGACCACAAGCATCTTGTGCCTCTTAAAAGAGTAGCAGAGAGCGAGCTAGTGTATTTAAAGTCAAGGGGGTGAAAAAACATGTCCAAGGCCCTCCGTGGGGCACTTTAATGACAAAATGAGAAATGACACAGCTCCTCACTCCGTGTTCAGTTAAGGTCCAAGCAGAAGATGGACACAAATAAATACAATGCGGTGTGAGTGACCAGCGCGAGTCGGCGGCATCCAGAGGACGGAGAGATTCGTGCGGGCGGAGACCGGGAAGATGAGCATAGAGACAGATGGCAGGATTGCAATAGGACCTTCTTAAAGAATGGATAGGATTTTGTAGGGGACATTGTCCAGGGAAAAAGAAGAAAATCAGGAAGCAGAGGGGAGTCACCCCTATTAAAAGCCACAATAGTTTGCTTAGTTCCCAGACACGAGCCAATTTTCAGGTCTGGAGCCCACAGCAATTGAGGTGGCAGGTCCCCGGAAAAGGGGCCCTTGTAGCAGCCTGGCAGGTAAGCACTGCAGCGAGCCCGCAGCTCTTCCCCACAGGGAACGCGGCCATTTGCCAAGGAGACCATACACGGGGGAATGAACATAATCCCACACTTCAGGGACAGTGGACACTTCACTGGTAGGACCTACACAGACGAGGCCAAAAACAGTCTGGCTGATGCCTGGCTCCCAGTCGCCCAGAGAACACAGACCCAGGGGTCGCCTGTCACTCCAGACGTTAGACTTGTGAGTGAAAGTACCCCCCACATTGGTCTCTGGTGCATGCAGGTTAAAGGGAGAAGAAAGGGCAGAACTAGGAACATCTTCAAGGCGTAGAACGACACGTGGTATGTGGCGACCTACTGAAAAGACAGTGTTTCTGGGAGACAGAGGGAGAACGCAAAGCAGAGAAGAGAGAGGAGGGAGGAAATGGCTGGGCCCGCCTCTCGGAGGGCCGGTGTGTGTCCCTGAACCACTAATTCTGTTCCCACCCTGGCAGACAGAATGATTGTCTGCAATTTACAAGCAGGGGACAACCGAGGCTAAAGTGAAAAATCATCCTCAGAACTCTGGGACCTATCAAAAACTACAAAGTAAACCAGAACATTAACAGCACTGAATAACAACTAATAACGTCTAGTACTGGTAGAATTAGCAGTCAGGTGCTGCTAAATGTACCTAATACTGACGCTCTCAAATTTCGATTTATTACAACTTCTTAAGAATAGATCTCTTATTAAACTGTTCTTGATCATTAAGAAGGAATGTTTTAGTGTTTATGTCATGAAATAAGTAAGCTTAACAGCCCTGCGAGAAGCCAGACCAAAAGGAAACTCAGCCCCGACGCCGTGAACGAGGCTCAGCACAGAGAATGACCGCAGCTCGCGAGTCGGGACCAGGCACGTCGCGCTGTGCGTTTGTGCCAGCGACCCTCAGACTGCTACCTCCACGTTGGATTTAGTTCATCCTCTGCGTCAGCAAGAGTATTCCAGAGAGTATTCCACCTCCCGTTCTGCCGGCGAAGGTGTGTGCGTGCAGGTGCAGGCGTGCGTGCGTGCGTGCAGGTGCAGGTGCGTGTGTGCGTACAGGTGCATGCGCACGTGCACAGCTGCAGGTGTCCGTGGCTGGGGCGCATGCGCTGTGAAAAACGAGCGTGGAGACGTCCCAGCCCCTCCACCCACGTGGAGTGAACACGTCTCCGAGTTTGTGAGGCGCAGGAAGGGGACGCAGACCTTCTGTTGCTCCCGCGGCCTGCGCCCACCCCTGGAGGCAGTCGTGTGTGCACCTGGGGAAGGACGCAAGTGAAATTATGCTTTTGTTTCCAAACCTGGGAAGAGGAGTAGCAGCTTCTGAGATGCTGCGACAAGCCAGGGGACTGACAAGCCAGGATGCTTCCTCCCCCTGCAGGACAGACATCAGTCAGATTTCTCTGCTGTCAATCTCAGTCGCCCAAACAAGGGCCAGACGTTGGGGACAGAGAACCGGCGGAAAGCTATTCTGACAAGTTGCAACTTGCCGACCTTACTAAGCCTCCAGGACGGGGGCAGATAGATGCGCACGACCCAGCCCGAACGAGCAGCACAAGACAAGGGCGACGTCCAAAGCACCCCCGTGGCTGCACCCCTGTGACGTCCAGCATCGTTTGTGAAAGAGAAACGGTGTTAGAAAAGCCACATGGTGGGGACTCTGCTCATGTTTTTGTACCTTCTGCCCCCTGTACTTTTATACATGGAATATTTCACCATCTCGATTGTTTGTGGGTGTGGATTATAGAACGTGTTATACCTTTCTCCAGCGGCTTTGGTAACGTGCGACTCAAACTTCGTGGCTAAATTCAGAGTAAGATTCATTCCACTTCAATCTCAGCAAAAGAGTCCTTACTAATCCAGTATAAGGGCCGAATACAAGTTCCATCTACTGTCCACTTTGGACTGATGCCAAAGTTCTTTACACATCTGTAACATGTATGCCTATATAGAATAATATTTATAATGTAGAATAAAGGTTTAGAAGCGTTTTGGGGGTGGAACAATTTCCTTAAATGAAGTAGGTGATACCCAGTATAAAGATACACAGAAAATAATGTTCATGCTGTTCATATGTTTCTGATAGGAGATTTGGCCAAAGAGATAATAACATGTTTCCAGAATTTCTGGGGCAGGGCATGAACTCGAAGAGGTGTTGAAATATTTAGCTTTCCTTAAAAACAACAATTATTTGTCCGCTGTTATTCCGCTATGTCTCTTCTGGCACAGATAGAAGATTTTATGTTGGTTTTCCAAGAGCATCCTCTAACGAGGAAAACACTTCACATAACAGTCATGAAAAATGAGACGATGAAGAGAGGGGGCCAGGAAAGAAACTTCGGCCCTGACCGGGGCAGGTCAGTGGGCTGGGCATCGCTCTGCAAGAGAGACCTCAGTCGGGTACTTTTACTCAAATTGCAAAGCACAGGAAATGCCCAGCGGTTACAAATTAACTTGAATCAAAACAGAGTTCTATCAAAGTATTTTGAGAAATGGCATATATATGTTTTAAACTTATTTAGAAAAATGCAAGCTCTTTATGCCGAATTACATTATTAGCTTTAAAAATTAAAGCCATTCGAAATATTAGCAATGCTATGAAACAAAAATATTTATATCTACCTCTTCTGAATAGCAAAACAAACAAAAGAGAACATTTAAGCTAAAAGATTGGTAACATCACCTGGCACAATCATCACCAGAGACTTTATTTAAGGCCACCTAAAGTTAAAAATAAATTGCAGTCGTCTGCATTAAGATTTTTATGATAAAATGGAGAGATTTTAGAAAAATATAACAGCTAAGACGCTTTTTCTTTTAAAGACAAAATAGTTTTATTAGAAATGACCCCTTGATGTGAAATCAATTGAGCATACCTGATAAATAAAAAATTGTATATCTTGCTCATATGTAAAGTAAAAAATAAAAATTTGAATTCTATCATGTTCTATAAAAATATTATAGGTCATCTCTGTGTAAGAGGGAAAAACAAAACTAGACTTCCTGAAGAAAAATCACAATGATAGTAGTAACACAAACATATGGATGCTGGCAAGGGTCTGCTCAGAGAGAAATTAATAATTTTAAAGGGTTTCATTATTCAAGCTAGAAAAATTCAAATGGAGTAAACACAAACCTCAAGAGGTTGAAGAAGAATAACAAATACAGTGTAAGGGTAGCAGACAGAAAGTATTAATAAAGATAAACGGAGCAATTAGTGAACAAGGAAACATAAACTCTAAGGGCTGTTTTTGTTAAAAAATACATTAACTGCACAAACCACTGCCTAGTTCTATCAGGAAGAAAAGTTAAGAAAACAAGGTACATGCTTAGAAATACAAAAGCAGAGATGATCACAGGTACAGAAGGGATCCTTTCATTGTATACTGGAATAACATGTTCAAATCTATGCTAGTTAATTTAAAATTCTGAATGAAACATAATTCTTTTCTGGGAAAATATACATTAGCCAAATGGATATGAGAACAAAATAGGTGAGAAGCCTAATCACCATATGAAAAAAGAAAAGGTCAAAGTTCCGTCTCATATAAAGGCTTTCAGGTCAGAAGGATGAAATCCGTACATTTAACGTGTCTCGAGATGACATTCTTACCAACAACAAGGTAATTAAATGCTGGGAGGGCCATTTCTACCAGGCTGGCATAATTCTGTTACCCCGATTCACGAAGACAGCAACAATAAAGCCAGACAGACAGAGACAAGGTGTCAGTGGATTTGAAACTGTTCAGGAAGAGCAACAGTATCTTGCTGTTCCCTGCTGTGTTCCCAGGGTTAATATCCAGGTCATCAGTGAGTGCATGCGTGCGTGCAAAAGGAAACGTTTAAGGACGTGCGTGCAAAAGGAAACGTTTAAGGATGCTAACAAAACAAGCCCAGCTCTGCACGTACAGCTACAATGAGACAGGACAGAGTCAGGCTCTATGCTAGTGGGCAAAGGTGGATATAATTCAATACACTAACTGAACATAGGTTTTTATTCGTTAAAAAATTTAACACACCTTCTCCATCAAAATAAAAAGCACTAAATAAAATTTTAATATCCCACGTCTAAGAAATATTTATTCAATATGATTAAAAATGCTATCTCAGGGAACAGAAAGAGACCACAAATCATTACTCTTTTAAAACATCCTAGAAATCCCAGCCAATGAAGTAGTGGAAGGGAAATGATACATAGTGTACGGACAGAGAGCAGATAACATTCTCATTATTTTCTTGTGACACAAGAGTTGACTTGGAAAATTCATCTTAGTATTAACAAGAGCCAATCTATCAAGCCATTACATATGAAATAAATTGAAATTATTCAATAGGAAATTTAGCTAAAGAACATGGCTGGGAGTGAAGATGATGAATGGACCTCGGTTGCGGGTATGATGAGTTTATGTTATTTGGGTGACAGATGTGTTCATTAAACTATCAGGAACGGGGGACAAGAGCTCAAAAAAGAAGGATGGTTCTAGACTAGCCCTTAGCACCCTGCCTGGCGACAGCAAGTTCTCCATAATGATTTGTTGAAGAAACGAAAAAACTCAAATAATAACCAGGATCATGCTAAACCTAAAGCCAAACACACACACAAGGACACGTGTACACAGTGAGAACGTGTCATGTTGCACACGGGAGTGAAGCAGCCTGGACCTAAAGCAGAATTCAGTTCATAAACTTTACTGCCAGAAAGTTACTGCGGACTTGACAGCGTGTGATGTTAACTGAGAGGTACAGAGGGCCGGTTGGGAAGAGTCTGCTGTGGAGGACAGGGAGGTGCGTGGCACATGCAGGCCACTTTATGAAGCGTGTCCTCTCCCGGCCAAGGCTGGCAGGTCCTCACGTGGGGGCATCGTGTCCGTGGACGCAAATTCTCAACAGCGGAAAAGCCCCTCCCTGACCCTTCTCCCTGGACTTGCGTGTGCAACGGACTGTTTCCAAAGCCAGTTTGAACACTTCTATCTGCTTCGTCTCTTAACACAACTGGATATGGAGAAGGTAGTAGTAACCTCCTCTTTAATGTACATTCTAATTTTTTTCTTGATAATATAATGAATTCATTGGGTTTACTATTCAAATGTACCAAAAGCTGGTAAATCCCTCCCATACCTTCCTGCAGGCCGGGGTGTCAGACTCATTGTCACCGGGGACCACGTCAGCCTGCAAAGAGCTGAATGGAATGATAGGACTGTCTACATGTAACTGCTCCTTAACTGGGGCAAGGAGCTCAGTGCTGGCCACCAAACAAGGTGCCAGGCTGGACTCAGCCCACCGGCCTTGTGTTTGCCATCTGCACTCCAGGCAAATCTATGCTGCAACACATTCTTGTCTTCCCAGAGATAGTTTCTGCGTCGGTAAGCAGATCCGTTTGTTGTACCCAAACGGCAGTGCCACGTATCTGCCCGTGAAGGATAATGACCAAAACTGGCGGTGCTGACCTGGCCCGGGTTCCCCGACTATGAAATCAGGAAGCAGCAAGATGCCAGTAAACATGTCTGTTTTCTGACACTCAGGACATCGGCCGTGTCTTGTGAGGACTTACCAAATAGGAGTGATCTCTATGCCCTAGTAATGCAAATGCTGAATGCAATTACAATACATTTAGAAGCACCTCAATGTCTGATTAATCTTCCATCTTCCACACCTAATATATTTGTTTGAAGTCCCAATAAATAATCATGACCTTATTCAATGAGACTGAGGTTACTTGTATTCAAAGTGGAGGATATTTAGAAAACTTTTCAAAATATATCTTTCAAATGCAAAAAATCATTCTTAAAGAGTCTGCTTTGGCCCCTGAGTTTTCACACGGTAGTGCTCCTGCTGTAAGATTTGTGTTTAGTGATTATGTGGGAATGTTTCATTACCAAACTGCTGCCAGATAAAAGGTAATTAAAAGTGCAAAAGCACAAAATATTGTTTCCCTCTTCAGTGATTATTTTTATTTCTGAACACAGGAGCCATGAGTCATCAGTTGATCACTTTTCAAAAGATCTTTGCATAGGCCTGCAGAGTGGGTTATGTCAAACATAGTTTTTTATTTCTGTGCTGTGTGAGGTCTGTTACAGAAAATCAACACTTTTGCAACAAAAAACAGCAAGATGTTTAAAGGAAGCGCCAGAGTATAAAGCCCTTAAGTAATAGAGAAGAACAGGGAGGTCGTGGCTGTACAGTATAAGTACAATTTGTCAGCTTTTGACCATCTTTAAAAGAACACCCTGGCGTTTGAAAAATACGAAGTCGCAGCTTTCCACCTCGCTGGTCCATTGTTTGTGTCGAGAAGGGATGATCACATTAACACTACCGACGTGATTCATGTAATAAACAAAACAAACCTCTGTGAGAAATGACGCTCCGCATTGTGAAATATGAATGCTCCAGAGCACACACAACTTGCATGGAGGGGGGAAAAAAAACGTGATTAAAGGAAGCAAATCCTCCTATCGGCTGCACCGAACCCCTAAAGCAATCGAGGAATTTGTTTCTTACAGACAATTAATCACACGCGGGCACGCCAGACGAGAGCTATTGATCGCCCTTTCCCGGCTGGTGGCACTCAGACGCGAGACAGACAGACGCCCCAAGCGAGGGGCCGCATCTTGCTGCGGCTGCCTGGCAGAGCTTTTCATTGTTCTCGGCTAAAATGGGTGACGTTGTGCTGTTAATCTTTAGTGGGGAGCTTCCTCCTTTCTCTTGGAACCATATGTACGTACGATGATTTTCATTTACCTTCACGCCGAGGTCCTTCATAAGCTCCACCTCAAAATTCACTACATCAAATGGCAGCCGGAACTGAGGGATTTCAGAAGAACTGGGGAAAAACAAAAACATTTGTTGAAAAATTAGCAGTCTTAAAAAGGCAACATGTCTTTTTGATCAATATTAAAGGACTATGTATCTCTTCTCATAACCTGAGATCGGTGAGGACATCCGCATTTTTATATTCATGATGAAATATTCTATGGGCTATAGGAGAAACTGATATGAAGATAAATAAATGTAAACAGTGGAAAAAAGAAATAGACAATTGGTCAAAAGCATTTCCAAAGCTGGAGGTTTGTTTATTAAAGTACTTAGCTGATTTATCTACTAATAATTTTGTAAGAAATTTCTACAAAAGCAATCTTAAAGACCACAAATTAGTTGAAAGTATACTACTGTTCAATATACATATATACATAGACATACCTTTATGTGTATTCCATAAATATACCTGTAGCTTAGTGATTTTCAACTGCTGTGTCCCAAGAATTTGTAACACATGTAATCACTGACTCTTTAGTCGGGGGCACTGACCTCTTTTCCCTGAGACTGTGAAGTTTTAAAAAATGACAACAGCCATCTGATGTGAATGAATCAAAATCACACCTATTTTTTAAATCAGGTTGGCAAAAAACATGTTTCGGGGGTACCGCAGAATTTGAGCCCCTGGTTTATGCACCGCGAGATCAAAAAGGTTGAAAACTGCTGCTCTAGCGAGTTCAAACTCAAATCTGCAACTGTGTTACTGTGCTGTTTCTGAAGCCACAGCTTAGTTCCAGGTGATGTACAGAATGTGTTTACAGCAAACCCATCTTCTTCTATGAAAGCAGTAAGTGCCCCCAAAGCACACAGTCATACATCAGGAATATTAGTCCTGACTCACTGTCTACACTGCAAATGAAACAACGCAGAACAGAAAATGATTGCTAAAATATAATCATTTCAATAATTCAAGGTATGCAAAATTAACTCTTCAATGTCTTACAATAATAAAAAGGCTGTGTATGTTCATGAATATGTCTTTTATTTATTCATCTTTTCATTTAACAAGCATTCACTAAATGCCACATGCAGGGTTAGCTACTGTGATGAGACAGTGAATTTGACCAAGTTCCCGCTTTGAATCATCTCTCACTCTGTTGGAGAAAGTTCCAAAAACAGACAACTGCCACAGAATGTAGCGTGCACAGTGGGGGAGCTTTATCCAAGCCATTAGGAGATTAAATTGTAACATAAGTAAACAATGGCCGAAGATAAAACTACTGGATCTTCCCCAGTGCACAGGCAGCCTTTTCATTGTGTGGTGGCTTAAGAACTTCATTATTCAATTAATTTCTAGACATCAAACCATCAGCAAGGCACCAGGCTCTGAGCGACAGAAAACGCTCAGTATTAAGCAGTGGAAAATCAAGGTCTTCGCTGAAAGAGCATCTCTGTCTAGTCAGGATGCGAGATTATAGGCAAGAAGGGATTCGGGCCTCGGTCCGTGATGAGAATTCTCTCGAGCTGACCCAGGAACTCCAAACTCAGGAGTGGTCATAGTGCTCAGGCACCGAGAGCCCTGGCCTCTGGGGCCTGTCAGAGTATTCCACCCCAAAATCTCACATTGCCAAAAGGGTTATTTTGAGCCCAACGCGACTGGAAAGAAGCGGAAACAACTGAAACACTCTGCCCCCTACCACCTGCCCACAAGCAGGACATGAGCCCGCACAGGTGTGTCTCCCTTGCCCTGCCAGGAAGGGCAGGGCTCTGATCCCCCAGGGGAGCTCCAACACCACAGCCCTGAGTAACCCTGGCCTCCCGGGAGACGCCCCTACACACGGCATTTGGACCCGAAGACACCTCCCCGCAAACTGAGCGCTGTTTTTAAACCTGCTGCGTGACCCAGAGCTCTGACCCGCCCCGCGCCACTGAGTTCTCCCCAGCCGGATACACAGGTCGATCAGCTCTGCTTCTCTGCTAACCTGTCTCTTTTCGGCTTATTTCACAGGCCCAGCCACTGAACAGAAGAGGGCAGAGGAGGTGCCTTCCTCCCTGTACCTCTGAGGGCTATGTTTTTTGTTTCATTTTGTTTTGTTTTTTTGTTTATTCACAAACCACTTTCATGTTCTATTTTATGCAACCTTTACACAGTCGCTGGTAGTAAGGAAGGAATAGGTTTACCCCCGGCATGGTGGGGAAGACACAGGCTTTGTCCGAGAGCAGAAGGGGGGCTGGGGAGCACAAGGCAGGAGGTGGAGCTCCAGCAAGGACCACCGGACTTTGGATTCCAACAAACATGTAGGCACGTCCAGCCTCACAGCTTCAGAGTTGTGTGTCCATGGACACCTCTGTACAAGGGCTAAGTTTTGTGCAAATGCCAGGAAGTGTATGTGGGCACTGAAAGACACCCTATCTCAATGGGCATGGACAGATATTTGTGTGTGTGTATCTATATCTATATATCTTAATCTTAAAGCCCATTAACACCATCTTTATTTATCCTTGTCATTATAATAGCAAGCCCTTTAACCCCTTTAAACTCACGTCCTGAAACAAAGAAGCCACAGCTGGAGGACCTTAAACCTGCCTCTTGTTTTATACATTAGTTGCAACAAGCAAAAATAACCCATTGGTTGTGTCCGATACAATGGGGATTAACTCCTGGGTCTCCCTCACCTACTCTAGTGCTGTTGTAAGGAGTTGTCGGGAGCCCAGTTTACCAGGGATAAAAGAATCTATTTGGAAGAAAAGGAGAAAGAAAGATACAATTTGACATCAGCTCTTTAAGCAATTGATTTCAAATACGAAGCTAATGTAATCATTTTTGGCCACGGTGAAGGTACGAGAGAAGGAGAGACATCTGTGAGTGAGAAAATAAATTAACAGGAGAGTGTTGTGGCTGTAATTCTGGCTGAGTTCCAGGACCAGTATCTGTAAGTCTGTAACAGAGGGCACACGGCGCCTCTCTGGGCCGTGGGAAGGCCCGAAGGGCACGGATAACACACTTCCTTCCATCCCTTGGTACCGGGAAGAGTCAAAGGCGAAGGAAAGGAAATAAATCAAAAAAGAATTTTTTTTGGAAAGTAACATGTTTAGTCATTAATCCCGGGGAAATCTGTCCCATAGGAAAATGTTCAGCAAATACATAAAAACACAAGTTTAGTGCCAATTTATATGATTTAGAAATGTCTATCCCACATTTGAGTTAAAAGAGAGAGACGCTAACCACCATAATAATCTAGCCAAACTGTCAGCAGAGAATTCATAAACGGGGCTTGTTCCATTTTCGGCTTCTCGTGCAAATGCAATTAAGGGACAAAAAGATTTTTCCTCGTCTACTAGGGTGTACAACAATTAAGCTCATATTTTTTAAATTAGCTCATATATTTGCTGATGTGTGTAATTGAAAAAAATGTACAGTGCTTATACATATATTGCTAATACATTATGTTTCTCCAAATTAATAAAGCCACAGACAAATGCCACTATAAAAGATAGTCCAACTCATTCCAGCACAATAATGTGTGAGGTATTTTACTTTCCAGGGTAAAGAAATTTATAAAATACATGTAATCCTGTAAAACTCATAGTGGTGAAACTTCATGTAGAAAAGTAATTATTTTTTGACAATCAGGTTGCGTTTCATACCTACTTTTATGGGTCTTCCATTGATGTAAAATTTTTGCTTGATGATTCAGTCAAACAGTTTTATATTAATGCCCATTTATCTTTGTTTTAGCATATTGTTTGTGACTGATATTGAAATGCATACATTTAGTGACACTTGTTTTTTCTGGTATCATAACATATAAGCACAGATTTTAGCCCTAACTTGATTAAATTTATTCTTTGTGATTATTAAATATGAAAAATGTGCTGTTTAAACAACAGTTGAATAGCCATCAAAATTTAATGCTAAGTATAGCAACAGATAAGCAAAATGGTTTTTTAAATGAATTTTAAAATTCATTTCTTTCTGATGCCAAGATGAGACATTTAGGAAGATAATAAATCCAGTAATATTATTAACTTACTACTCAAATACTTTCTCATTTTCACGCCAAATATTTTAAGCAACATTCATTCCCTCCTCTTAATAAAGTTCACTTCTTTATGATCATAAATGTAATCAATGTTCACTATAGAGTTTCATGTATTTTAAATAAAGTAAACATCCAATCTCTGGCTCAGCTTGAATATCTGGAAGTCACTGACTCAAAATGAACATTTTCCATTTCAGTGTATCACTCTTCATAGAAAGAAAGACCACAAAGCTGAATCTTGGTACATAATAATCATGCTGGTTAATATCAAACGGTATATATGTATGGCATTTTTGAAGTCAACTGCATGGATGTACCTGAAAATGCAACATTTTTAGTAAACTAACAGAATCAAATATAAAACCGAAAACATGTGAGCAGGACGATATGTCTGTGACCCAACAAGATGAATTGCCCAATATTCTACAGAGCCAGGTTTTCCTCATCTCCAATCTCCATAATTCCCAGATAGATCTTCATCAAAGGGAAAATTCACAGAGATAAAATAAGTTTTCCTACCATTGGTTCCTTGATCCATAAAATATTTTGCTGAGATTTCTCTTAAATTCACAGAATGAGACAGAGAAATTTTAAAATAAATATTGCTTAAAGCCAACTGCAAATTCAAACTGAATAACAAAATCAAAATCTGAGCATTTGGGAAAAGAACATTTAAAATACCATCTGTGAGCCTGAAGTGCCTATAGGATTAGGAACCAGCACTATTCATAATTGTTTTACCCCAGGATTTTTGATGCTATAAACACAAAACGAATGTAGGCATTACCTTAAACCACCGACGTATTCTTGTTTTTCAAACACAGTGATGTCAGAGTAGCCTAATCGAGCCAAAAAGGACGCACAGCTTATGCTGGCTGGCCCGGCACCAAACAGGGCGATCTTCGCTGTGAAGGCCTCGGGCATTTTCTCCGGAGGTGGCAGACCTGGGTTCCTGATTTGTGGTATATTCATTGCTTTGAACACCTGTGCAGATACCAGTCGCTATGGTTAAAATTTTTAAACTCGCTTTTACATCCTCAAACATTTTTAGAAAATATTTTAAATGCAGCCTGGCTGCTGTAGCTCAGTGGATTGAGTGTGGGCCTGTGAACCAAAGGATTGGGGTTTGATTCCCAGTCAGGGCACATGCCTGGGTTGCAGGCCGATTCCCAGCAGGGGATGCACGAGAAGCAACCACACTTTGATATCTCTCTCTCTCTCCGCCCCCTTCCCTTCCCTTCTAAAGATAAAGATAAATAAATGATAAAAAAAACATTTGAAATGCATTTGTGTTTTTTAATGAAACAAGCAGTACTTTTTTTTTTTAGAAGCTGTATTGGGTCAGGTAGGAGACGAGTTACCTTGACCAACTTCTTCTCAACTTCTGAGATTCCTTGGTAGGTTCACCCCTCCCCTAGGGGGAGCCGAGGCCCACAGCTCGGGAGGGCCCCCCTCTCAGTAGGGAAACCAGAGGGAGACAAGTGACCAGCCAGGGTCCCCTCGGCCCATTTGGAATGAAGGTGAGTCACCCTCACTGGCTTTTCATCAAACAGCCTGGGCCTGCTACCAGCCCCAAACTAACATCACCCAAGAGCTAAAATAAACAAACATCACCCAAGAGCTAAAATAAACAAACAAATAAATAAATTTTTAAAAAGACATGCATACAGAATCTACTAAGTGTAGTTATCAAACATAGATTTTTGGAACAACCGTGATAAATATGTTCAAAAATACATCATAAGAATGTGAACTTTCCTAGGAAATAGTAATCTGTTAAAAACACACATATAAGAAAGTTTAGAGGGAAAAAGTGCAAAATGACAATTCAAATCTAAGTCAATGTATTTAATAGCAGGTTGGACAGGAAAGCACCAAGGAAGTAGTGAGCTGAAGACAGGTCACTGAAAGCCATCCAGGCCGAAGCGAGGAAAGAAGGAAGCGGAAAGAAAGAAAGACGGGGCATAGAGGACAACAGGGGTAGGCATAACGTGCTCATGGCTGAAACTGCAAAAGGACAGGTGACAGAGAATGACACAGTGACATTCGAAGACAAGCGGACCAGGAATTCTCCCAAATGAATGAAACACATCGAGGCACAAATTGGAGAAGCTGCAAAAGCTCAAACAAGGTCAGTAGAAAGAAACTCACCCACACAGCAGAACTGCTGTAAACCAGTTAAAAAAAAATACACAAAGCACTGAAAACAGCCAAAGAATAAAGACACAGTCCTGTCGGTGAGTGGTGGGATGTTTGAGTGCTTTCCTCTCAAAAGGATGCGTGGGAGTCAGGAGACAGGGAATGGTGCTTTTTGAGCAAGGAAAGAAAATACCTTCTACCTGCAGTTCTGTTCGGAAGGAAAGCACCCTTTGGATAAGGAGGAGAAACAAAGGCACTTGCAGAAGAAAAGTACTAGCAGCGGTCCAAGAAATACTGAAATGCGCACCCGGTGGTATTGTAGTCGGAGTAAGGCCGGTAGTCAGCGAGGACAGACTATGAGCCCACCTGAAAGCTAAGTCTCTATCAGGGGGGTCCAACCTTTTGGCATCTCTGGGCCATGCTGGATGAAGAAGAGTTGCCTTCGGCCACGTGTTAAATACACAGACCCTAATGAAAACAGATCAGCCAAAAAAAACCCAAAACAGCTTTTAAGTGCATTTGCAACTTTGTGTTGGGCCGCGATAACAGCCGTCCTGTGGGGTGTGGGCTGGACCCCCCTACGTAACCTCATTTGGTTTCAACCATCCTGTTATAAAGAGACAGCGGGTGTTTCCATTGCCCTGATGCTGAAACTATGGCCCAGCTCGCACACTGAGGGCTTTACCTGAAGGCCGTTTGAGCCCAGAATGCTTTACCCTGCTGCTGTCAATTTGTATAGCGATTGTCAACACACACCCCTAACGGAAACACAACCTACATGCATGATTTCAAGAGCAAATGTGTAACTAAAAACGTATTACATGAATTTACCTTTCCTAAGCCTACTACACTTACAATAGCCAATTTATTAACAACAAAAGCTGGTTGTTGCACTGAATAAATTAAACTAAATGGACAAACAACCGATTGCTAAGGAGGCATTTGAAAACCCTGCAGCACACACACCCCCGGTTTCCGAACCTGCCACTCCGTGACCTGAGAAACTCCTGAGTCAGGAGGAGCATGAGCCTGCGACCCGTGAAAGGATCTCATGTTTATATCCTCTCCAAGGTGTGTCCCCTGCCCTACCAACACTGAAGCACTTGGACTATTATTTTATATTTCATCGGTAATATGCGCATAACCGTCATGCACAGACCTTGCAATATGCCAGATGCTCTATTACCAAAACCAGCCAGGAGGACTCTGACGGCCCTGCAGGAGCTGGCTGGGGGCTGGTTACCAGGTCTTCCGCTGCTGAAGGCGTTCAGGGGCCAGTCTCTGAGTGCTGGCTGCCTTCCAGGCACTCTGCTATGAGCTTTGCATCAGTCTTTCCACTTAACTGCCCAGCTTACAATCTGACTTTCCCTGCAGGTCTGCAGGAATCTGAGGGCTCCTCTTCCCACCTGGAACCCCGGGGCATGGACCTGGACCGCACTGGAGGTCTCCGACCAGGTGTGCATGAGTTTCTGGCAGGCTTCCACAAGTGGGTGACCTCCTCCTCGGTGTTGAGGGGACGGGCCCTTCTAACCGGATGTTCTGGAGGAGCGTTTCCGGACACATTTCATCATATAATCACCCTGTGATGTCCGACCTTTCCCTTATGTGGAAAGTGCTTCTCTCTCATCAGTGCAAATTGGCTTAGCTAGTAGTGTTTCTCTCCATAATTTCCATGTTACTCTGAGACATGAGAGAGAGTCTCCTGATTTTAAAAGTGGAAAGATAAAATGACAGAGAGGGCCATGGGATTCCTACCTGGCCCCCCCCCCCCAGCCTCCTCACACTCTGGAGATGGAAGCGGGACAATTCTCGAATCATTATGCAAGCTCTCTCCATGAAAAGAGACAACTTGGCAAGGGCGAGGGTATTTACCAATTCTAATTTGAGGGTAATGCTCACTGTACTCTTTCTTGCTTTCTAAAACGGTACACAATAAAAACAAACACAAATGTCTGGTAGTTATAATTAGTCCGCAATTAATCTATTTGTTCTTATTAACCAAGCAATAGCAAAAATGAATCATAAGTACATCACGACAGATAATATTTTGGGAAAATTTGGAATATCTCCACGAGTTGAAGGGTGAATCGTGAAAGGGTGGTTGGATCCTACACACCTCTTAAGAAGTTTATAGTTTTGCAAATATTTAACTTGATTTTACTATAAAATAAAGCATAATTTCTGCTGATCTCTAAAGAGATGATTTCTTCGGTGTAGGACTAAGAAACATTAATAACAACAATATATTGATTTTCATTTGTGCTGGTTTCGGTTTCTTTGAGTTATTTAATTAGTAGCATGAGAGTCGGGTTACCTTTCGAATGCTTAAATGGAGCAAGATTGTTAGTTGTGCATCTGAAAATAAGTTACCTCCAATTACCTGCCTTGCACGAGAAGCTCCCGTGTAATTTTCTTTGCAACTTGCTTCCTTTTGTAAAAGAAGTCAAAGGAAATACTGAGCATATACCATTCCCGGCACTCATCCTTCGAGAAGAAATATTCTTGGGCTACCTGACAGGCTTGTTCCCAATTAACACAGGACACTGAAGCGGAGACTGTGCTCAGATGTATCAGAAATGAGGAACGCCCAACGCAGTGGCAAATTTTCCATTGGTGAAATTATTCCTGTATTAGTAATCCTCACCACGCCGCTTCATTATCTCCTTGTTATTAAAATCGGCAGTACCGGGAGGCCTCTCTGGCCTGGCACAAACACTGTGCGACTTTGAGATCAGAACACGCTGTCCCCGGTCCATTCCTACTTCAACTGGTGTCTGACGGCACCAGGGGGAGGAAGGCAGACAGGCCCGTGAGTCTTTGACATTAAACAAGGAATTACGGTCAGTCATGGGTAGGGTTCACTCTGAGCCCGTGACGGGGAGAAAACGTATCAGATGGGAGAAAAGGCAATCCTGAGCCACGTCTGAACAAAGCGGCACCTGCCCCAGGGAGAAGAGCACCTCCGTCACATCACCTCTGAGATGAAGAGTCACCGTCCCTCCAGCAATTTACTGTGGCGGAGATGGAATGAAGCAGGTGACTTCGGGGTATGAACACCTTCTCTCTCTGAAGTAACGCTCCTAGGTGGTTGAATCTGTGTCTCCAACTCCTCGCCGGCTTCCAAGTCAGGGGTTGGCGGTTCATGTTCCAGACCACAGAACTGATTCCTGAGTTATTATTATTCCTACGTCATAGTTCCTACTTTCACTACGAATACAGGAGATACCGTGCTGGAGATTTGAGGCTGTGACTGAAAGGGTGGAAGTCGACCCAACAGGATCTGAAAACGCAGTGTGTGTGGTTCAGTTTGGGAGGACGTCCCGGACGCCACACGTCTCCCAGGTGGTCCAAACCCAGCGCGGGCCTCCTCCCGCAGGGTCCACTCTGCCCCGGGCCCTGGCCCACGCCTGCGGGGGCTGATGCTGGAGGGCCTTTCAGGACCAGCTTAAACCCCACTTTCTCACTCCCCCTCCCTCCCCGGTGAGGCCACCCAGGCGGTTCCCCGCCCACTGCCTCCTCGCTGCCCCCCTTAGCACTCCACTGGCATTGGCTCGCTTTTCTTTCTCACCGAGCAGTTTGCTCCCTGGGACTCCAGTCAGTCACTGCTGCCTTCTGACACTGTCCTCAGGCCCAGGCCTAGCCGGTCACTCAGGTGCGTGCTCCAGGCTGGGGTCAGGCAGTCCCTGCCACACTTGCTGAGGACACGAGGCCAGCAGGAGCCAGGAGAGCAGTGGAGACACTGTGAAGCTGTGGCCGCCCCCCTCCCCCACCAGCAGACCCATGAAATAAACAGGAAAAGGACAGGAATGAGAAGGCAGTCGGAACGAACGCACTGGTTATCACGA